CATTCTATGTCATCCTAGGAACAACCCTATTCCTCTTTGGTAACCTTATTGCTCAGGAACCCTCGTTGGCACTCGATGGCGAGCCGGCAGCCCCTGTGCCCTACTGGCTCGCCGCAATCGACGTCTTCGAGACCGGCGAGAACCTTCCAGCTCGCACAAATGGCCTCGGTAACTGCGACATCCCGGAAGACTGGCGCATGGCGGTAGTCTGGGGTCGCACCCTAATCTGCCTCACCGACGAAATCGTCAACCGCTCACGCACTCCAACGTCATCCACGTCTGCTCCATGTGTCGACAACCCTGCCTGGCCGCCGGACTCGCCCTTCGCTGCTATCGCCGCCCGTCGCCCGCCCCTCACGTACCGCATCTCTCTCGCCGACGTCTCCACGCACGAGCTCCTCGTGCTCGCTATGGACCAGTTCTCCCGCGGCATCTTTCACATGCCGCACCCGCTGCACATGCACCCGCCCGTTGTGCCGCCCACGCCCGCATTCTCCTCCTCGGCCTTCCTCGTTCCGCCCCCCGCGCCAGCGCCCCCCGCACAGATTTTACTCCTCGCGCAGGAGCCCACGTTCTCCCGCGCAAAGGAGCTGTTCACCATCGCGTCCGAGGTGCTCCTCCTCGCGGAGAAGCTGCCCGAGCCGGCGGAGCGCGCGACGTGGGCCGCGTGGGCGGACTCGGTGTTCACGCAGATGCGCATGGAGGCGGACATGGATGCGTGGCGCACGCAGATCACGCGTGCGCGCGGCCGCTGCTGGCTTGCGGTTGGTTCTGCACGCATCGAGGAGCTCGAGGCTGCGCTCGAGCGCGGGGAGCTGGACCTCTTGCATGGTGAGGATGCGAAGGAGGCACGGGAGGGGCTCGGCAAGGCTGTCGAGTTTTTTGAGCGCGCACGCGGGTCGGCGACGGGGGGTGCGGAAGGCCCCGAGGAGGAGAGCGAGCTGGGGCGGTTGCTTGCGGAGGCGCTGCTCACGCTCGGGAATCTGGAGCCGGACGAGGAAAAGAGGGAGGAATTTTATCGGAGGGCGCTGCTAGAAGGGGGAGAAGACTATTTTATGGGGGATAATGATGACGAAAAGATGGACGAAACCTGAGGGCCGATACCCGATACCCAAGATTCCCTATACTGCCTTTGCTGCTCTCGCTTTCGCTTCCATGACACATGCATTCACATAGACGTTCATCTGTATCATTAATCACAATAACCACATGTATGTACTCTGTATAGCCTATCTATAATTTGTAGGTCATTTAGAATATAACCCACAATCCACTATCAATTGTACTCTCTACCGATAGCCATCTAGTTGCAGTATTTGCTGCTAGTGAATATTCAGTTATATAGTACTATGAAGGTATATATATTATCGGTACTATCAAGGCTAGAGTACTTTCATGACAGACTCAGCAGTGCCAGAAGACAAATAGTACGCCACAAGCCGAGGGATGGCTGAGGCCATAACACATGCCTTGGTTTGACAAGGTTTGCTTTAACTTTTAGTGTATGACTGCACTACACCAAGTATTCGCCCACATAGGCGCAGTGGTATACATCCCATCGGCCGAAGCGCCACCAGGACACAGTCGGACCTCTCTACCGATAGCCTTCGGCCGTCGTCCCTCGACTCACCTAAATCATCCAAAAACGAGCCAACTAAACGGTATAAATATACAAGTTATGCACCGGCACCACTGTATACCCATATCATGAGCACTACTAGCACCAGCAGCACCGACAAGCCAAAACCAGACGCCTCAGGGTGGTCCGCGTCGCAGTACAACAAGAGCGCGTCGTTCGTGTACTCAACCGCGTTCACTGCGCCCTTGCTCGAGCTCCTCAACGCACAGCCGGGCGAGCGCATCATAGACTTCGGGTGTGGCAGCGGAGAGATCACACTGGAGCTCCAGAAGCTTGTGACAAGCGCGCCCGGCGGCGCCGTCGTAGGCGTGGATTTCAGCGACAGTATGGCAAGTCCCGAGCCCTGTATCATCCCATCCGCATTACTGTTTTTAATTTGACCTGTATGGGGGCTACAGATCGCGCAGGCGAAGGAGAACGGCGTCACACACGCGTTCGTGGGCGACGTGCAGGCGCTTGCGCTCCCCGTCGGCGACGCAGTCGTGGACGCGAAGTTTGACGCGGTGTTCAGCAACGCAGCGCTCCATTGGTGCAAGCGCGACCCGCTGGGCGTCCTCGAGAGCGCGAAGCGTGTGCTGAAGCCTGGCGGGCGCATCGCAGTCGAGATGGGCGGGTTTATGAATTGCATCGGTAAGTCACTCCGAGGTAATGATCTATTTCAGCCTGACCGCGACGAGGACATAGGTGTGCGATCGGCGCTGCATCGCGCATTGAAAGTACGTGGGTACGAGCCTGAACCACGCGACCCGTGGTTCTTCCCGTCTGTAGAGGACTACGCGCAGGTAAGCCACCTGAGGTGTGTTAATCATTATCGTAGTCATTGACGCGTCGACCCTAGCTCCTAGCGACGGCAGGTTTTACACCGATACACTTGTCTCTGACGCCACGATTGACGCAGCTGTCTTCAGGCCTGAGAGACTGGCTCGAGCTGTTTGCACGCAACTCTTTTATGTCTGGGATACCAGATGAGCAGGCTGGAGAGATCATAGACGACGTGGTCGAGATGTGTCGCGTTGATTGTATGGATGAAAGCGGAAAATGGGCGATGATGTATATGCGCTTGAGGTTCCTGGCAATTTACTAGATGTAGCTATAGGCAAGATGTAGTATCAGGTCAAGACTTTGTATTCAATTAGTTGCAAACAAACACCCTTTTATGCGGCGTTTTTCCAATGACGTCACAAAAAACGAAGTTTGAACAGGAGCGGGCCGCTTCAAGGTTCAGTACTATTCGGAAGTTCGGGCACCAATAGGCGTATCCTCGCTATATTATTATGTTCTACCATTATTTCCGCCATTAAAATAACCTAGTGGACGTCCCATTAAAGAAATCGATAGTAATGATGTGATTGACAATTCAGTCCACGCTAGTCCACGTAACCGTCGGCCTTGATATTGAGTTTCCGCAGCGGCCAGCCCATTCACTGATTATCCGTGCCTCATCAGATTATCTAGTCAATAGATTGCTCCCAAGACCAGCAGTGGACAGTTCAGGTCCTCTGTCAAGCAAACGCCTTATCGCAACATTGTGTAGATCAAGGTCCGAGAACAAAATAAGCATTCCCGCATCATCCCAGCTAGGCATGTCCATCGCGAGCGCAAGCGTGTCATCCTATTCATAACCGTAAGCATCCGCCTGAGCTTTGGTGGCATGATCGATCATCAAGATAGGGTGTGCACAACAGCCTCAAACGTCGCAAAAGTAACCATATTGACTGGGACCGCCCTAAATAGCAAGAATGTTGGATGAAGACACGAAGAGCAAAGAAGGAAATGTCAGGCTGGGTGCGTCTTACCGTATCAATGTGGGTGCAAGGCCACGAAAGAACACGCCTAGACCATCGGCACGGTACGAGTTGACGATCGTAGAGAGTATTGTGCGGTATGGATTCGTGTCGACGCTGTGCATAGGTTGCAGACTACCCAATAGCGGTATCCTGGCAGATGCCTCTACGTTGGAACTTTGGATCCGTGTTTTCACTACATCAAACGGGAAGGTTGCAAGCCAACCAACTGAATTGAAACGATGAGTTACGATGCTGGGTGATATATGTGAACTGACGCACTGATCCCAGCCATTCCACCTGCAAATAGGAGAGATGGCCAGGAGAGGTTGATCGTACCAGATGCGCTCTTGTTCGACGAGAGACCTGAGCCAGGGGACGCAAGGAGGCGGCACGTCGCTTCATACTAGAACATATTAATTAGCCATGTTGAATAAAGTTGAAAACGGAGGCGCACAGTAAAGAAATAGGCCCCATAGCCAGTATCCCGCAACGCAGTCACAGCTAGTCCGCGATAGAGACCCCGCATCCCAGACTCTCTGAAAATTTGTAGTGCGACGTGGCGTGCAGAAGTAGGATGTAAACAGGATTGCTGCCGGATCTTAATCAATTCGATCGGGCTTGTGATAACACTGAACGGCGAAACATATGAGCAACTTCGGTTATTGAGGAGGCAGGCAAGGGACTTGCGAAGATACGACTCCACTCCCTACCCCCGCTAGTGTGATTTGCGTGAGTGTCGGGATAGCTTGATTGTGGTCGAGTTGGGCTTTCATAAAGAAGTTGTATGAGGCAAAAATAAGGCCGTTCAGGAATGCGGTCGAAGCCTGTCATAGATAAAACCAGTCAATCTCCTAAGGTAGTAAATGAATCGCGTACTAATGGTGAGGAAATTCCCTTATATAGGCCGATGAACTTTTCTTCCCTGATAATCGTCGTGACCGCGTGCATGGTTGAGTCATACTTGATAGCAGTTGCTGGATTCTGGAACCGTACTTTGACTGGAAGCAGTGAGCTTGACACCTATATCCTAGACGAAGCTGTACACACTAGTATCGAAGGGAAATCCCACCACCAAGCCAGTTATTCCCTAAGTGCCGAATCAGCAATAATAATGGTTGAGTGTATGTTCTGTAGGCTTACTGCGACAGTTCCGGCGATAAAGTCAATCGTAGGGTCTAGCTCGACTGAAGAATCTGTCAATATATGAAGGGTAAAGAATAGGTTTCTGCAAGAACACACCTTTGCCCTCAAGTTCCAGGAGTTGACTCATGGATGAGCTCTGTGTCGGTGAAAGCCCGTGGATAGATAATTCGTAGATCCTTGCACCATCTCTAGGTCAGATAACAAAGTCCGGAACCTAGAGAAATTTCAAATATCACATGGATGAGTACAACTATTGATCCAGTGTCTTAAAGCCTCCGAAGTCCTAGTCAAGAGGTAAATTCAAAATTGAGGTTGATGATAACACTGAGAACCTATAGCATATTGAGGGTCCGTGGTGAATTAAGCGGGACTTCGGAGAGGGGGGGCATAAGCATCGGATTTGCTGGTACTCTTCCGGGGCAAAACAAAAAGGGCTCAACTGGGAGTTGAACCCAGGACCTCCTGCAATCGGATTAATGGGCTAACAGCCAAACCCAAAGCAGGAATCATACTACTAGACCATTGAGCCATATTTAGTGATGATTTACGACTTATTTAACACATAAATACCTGCTCCAACTTATGGCAAGTCTCCCCTTGAAGCTCCACCGAGAGGGCGAAGCACAAGGCAGGGTAGGAAGGTGAAGAGACGTGAAAGAATATATGCCGACTAGCATGCTTGTGGATTTGGGTTAGAGGATACAAACATCTGGAATGACAGTATTTTAGCTAAAATGGCCTGTGAAATTGTAAGACAAGAAGTGCACAAAAGGCTAGGGCTACACCTTCAATTGAGCAATACTGTGTGCACGTGGCCCCACATTTCTTCCCTAAAAACAGGAAGAAACAATAGGGGTGAATGCATCAAGACCCAGAAGGATGCCCTCTTAATTCCTTGAGCCATATGAGCAATCATGATCAGAGCCGAGGCGGATATCACGCAGGAATGCGAGATATTTCTTCTACCCAAAGCTCCACCATGAGAGCAAAGGGTGGAAGGCGAGGAAACACGAAAGAATATATGCGGACTGCATGCTTCTGACTATATTTTGTTGGGTTGGTGGAAGAAACAAGCGTCTGCACTGACGGTGTTTTGACTAAAATGACCTGGGAGATTGTAAGACATCAAGTACAAATAAGACTAGGGCTGTACCTTCAGTTGAGCAATGTTATATGCATCTGGCCCCATGTTTCTTCCCTACATGCAGAAAGAAACAATAGAGGTTAATTTATCAAAGTCCAGAAGGATGAACTACGACCACCATGGTGGTAGGACTGTATTGTCTTTGAATATCTGAACTTAGGGAAGAACCTGAACCGTACCACTGTTCTCGAACTCGATCACGACATGAGAAAAACTTCTAAAGTTTCTGCTTACCTGTTGTCTGTTGATAGAAACACCTCCTAGCTCCTTGAGGTTTTGCGCAGGAGTTTACTATATGCTCTTCTCCGCGCAAAGGCAAATGAGTCTGCTTTCATGGCTTGTACGGCAAGGAATTCTATCTGGGCTTCACCTATTGCATTAGAAGTCGGTAAGATCTTCCCTTCTGGATTAATGGGGCTTACCTTGGATATCACGACTTCGTCCTTGTTACAACTTCCTCATCATGTTCGTTATCGAGGCAGATGAGAGTAACCGTGAGTGTGGATGACATGGTTAAACGTCATGCACAGGGTTTCCACTGGAGCCCAGCTCATAGGAAGCCCACGATCTCCAGGCCCCCATGAGCTCGTCGCATCCTAGCTCCTTGAGGTTTTGCGCGGGAGTTGACTATATGCTCTTCTCCGCGAAGGTAAATGGGCCTGGTTTCATGGCTTGTACGGCAAGGAATTCTATCTGGGCTTCACCTATTACGTTAGAAATGGGTAAGATCTTCCTTTCTGGATTAATGAGGCTTACCTTGTATGGGCATAACATCACGACTCCGTCCTTCTTACAACTTCCTCTTATTCGTTATCAGTGACAGACGAGAGTAACCGTCCACTGTGTGGATGACGTGGTTAAATGTCATGCACAGGCTTTCCACTGAGGCCCGCCTCATAGGAGGCCCGCGATCTCCAGACCCCCATCATCCCTCTCATAAACTCGTCGCCATTCACGATAGGGAGGCGCCAGTCAGGCGGTATGAGAGCGAGAAGTTCTCTGTGGGAGACAGGGTCTTGAGACACGTTTGGAGGTTATCAAGATTCGGTGTATAAAACGGATCTCGTCTTCTGATGACGCGCCCATTCGACGCTTCCAACAAGCGGTGCTCATGCGAAGGCTGCCGTCAAGAGTGTGTGGTGAATCAGGGACTTTCTGGTATTGGAAGAACGTAGAAAAACCCCTAGTTGGTTTGAAAAATGCAGACGAGGGTGAAGATAGCATTGGTGTCTCATTTGCGAACTGACGGTGCTGCCTGATCCAGTAGCGACGAGGAAGCGCGCATACACGGATACGACATGGGCGGGGGTTTGAACTTCATAGAATAGGATAGTTCCTGACGAGATCTTCCTTAAGCCGCGGTCAAGATACAACTTGAGTACTTACGTTCCTCATGGAATCGTCGGAATAACCATGGCGAGCGGGAAGAATAGAGTTGGATAATCGCCCAGTGTTTATTGATAAACGTGTCAAGGGGAATTTAGGTCGAGACTTTCAAGGCTAGCAGGGAAGATCCTAGCCTTTAAGGGATGTGTCGACGATGGAGGTTATGCTCAAGTTGAAGGTAGCGTCACCGATTGGCCATACTGATTTAGTCAGCCAGACGCGTTTATTTGCCGAGATAGTCACCAGCGCACCTGTGGGCTATTTGACCCGCGAAGTCAGGCAGACGCTGCACTATAAGCTACGTATCTTATGAACATGCATCGAAGATTAGGAGTATGAATCTCCCGCAAGTCACAAGAAGTCATGTAAGATCATATATGTACCCAAACATAGTGATACACATCAGTTGTTATATACTCTAGATTGACGCTAGAACGAGAATCCATGTGAGTGAGAGCCCCGCGACCGTCCTCCGAATCCACCGAATCCTCCTCCCCCATGGAATTGCGCAAACAACTCCGCCAGGTCGGCCTGAGACATGCCGCCCATGCCACCCATGCCGCCCATTCCACCTCCGTCGTTCATGCCGTCCTCGTCCTCGCCCATATCGTACCGCTCGCGCCGGCGCGGGTCCGATAGTACAGCATACGCCTCAGACACGAGCTTGAATTTCTCCTCGTCTCCGCCCTACCAACGCGATTCAGCATGTCACTCTGTAAAACGCGAGAGTCCAACATACCTTGTCTGGATGGTGCTTCAGGCTCTCCCTCCGGTATGCCTTCTTGATTTCGGGTTCGGAACAGTCACGAGCGATGCCCAGAATCTTGTAGTAGTCTTTCGTTTTGCTGCGCTTGAGTGCTGCCTCGGCCTTCTTCAGCTCGGCCCTGAGTGCGCGTATGTCGGCGTCACTGCCTTCGCCACTGACGTTTTGTATCGCGGACTTGAAATCCGCAATCGACGCGTCGTAATTCTCGAGGTGTAGGTGCAGGCGGGCACGCGTGCGGAGTGCCTTAAAGGATGTCGGGGCGATGGTCAAGGAGGCGTCAGTGTCAACTAGCGCCTCTTCGTGCCGCTCGAGCTTGAGAGTTGGAGTTGTGAGAGCCGACCATATACAAGGAGTTTTTAAACTGTACCTTCAAGAGAGTGGTGGCACGATTCGAAAGCAAGGTAGCGCGTATCTGACCACCGTTGCCCTCCTGTTCGTCTTCGCCAATACGCTGAAAGGAAGATACAGTTAGAAAAAGAAATTCTAGAAAAATGGCAGAGACTTACATCGAGCGCTTCGCTATACTTCGAGATAGCGTCCTCGTATTGACCTGCCTTGAAAGATACGTTCCCCTCCTCCTTGAGCCGCTCTACGTCTTTCACTCGTATGCGTAGTCGCCTTGCTGCTTCATGGCCAGGGTCTAGACGCAGAGCGGAGTTGACATGTTGACTCGCCTGAGGAAGCTTGCCGCTGAGGAACAACACGAGCCCCCTGATAGCAAGAATATCTGGCGAGTTGGGGCACAGCCGAAGGGCATCACTTTCATGCAATGCATATAAGGCTCATCATGCCAAGGGAAAGGATGCTAAAGACGCTCACTTGGCTTCAGCATTCGCCGCATCCCAGTTGCCCTTCGCCAACTCGAGCTCCACGCGCCATGTCCTCCACTCCGTCGGAACTTCTGCACCTTCTCCCTCAACGGACTGTAGACACTTATCAAGTGCCAACCGAGCAAGTCCCCAATTTTTCCGCTTCCGCGCCGCGTCGAGATTCCGAATATGGCCCTCGAGGACCTGCACCTTGTCCCGGAGCTGGATCGCAACAGTATTATTGGGCTCAATGGTGAGTATTGCGCGAATGGTGGAGAGGGCCGCTGCTGAAGATCCAAGGGCCAGCTGACAGCGGCCGAGACGGAGCAGCGTTTTCGGCGAAGGCGCGGTAACTTGCAACGTTGCGGCATGCTGGCAGTCTTCTAATGCTGGCCTGAACTTTTTCAAAGCCATATATGATGCTGCACGGTTAGTAAGATATGCAGGTTCGGCTGGGTTTAGTTCTGGAAAATAGATCGTCAGACGCCGGACAGACTGTTTGAGATTTCCATTCACCGATGGCTTTGGTGTATAAATCTATGGCTTCCCCATATCTTCCCGCCTTGAAGGAAACATTTCCCTGCTCCTTTATTTTTTCCGCACGAGTAATGAGGTCCTCTGGCTCCGGGGAAGGTAAATGGGACGAGTTGTCTTGATTGGGGCTGGGCGACTTGGGTGGAGGGGAATTCGATCCAGATCCAGTAGCTTGATCTCGCGTGCTGGATAAAAGCTGATTATTTGCCAATCCTCATAACAACTAAGACGAAACACACCTTGCTGTACCATTAAGCGCGTTATCTGCGGCGGCAGCCTTCTTCTTGTTAGCTTTGGACTTTTTGTTAGCCATCTTAGTAGATCAGAGAAGGATATAGCGCGAATGCAGGGTATCTGTTGGAAGATATCGTCCAGAAGTAATCTTGTCGAGGAGCCAGGGAGCGACCTTGGGGAAGAAATGCACGACCAGCTAATCAGGTCCAAAGAAATGAGAACAATCTCACAAATTTCCCCTAATTAGTGTGGGAGATTTGGCTGAAATTTTCGTGCGCGGCAAATTGAAAGTGATCGTGGTCCGTTGGATATGATAATGAGCCTCCACCTACTCCTTACCTGGTACTAGAGTCTTACTGGGTTTATTTTGCGAATGCCTGTTTTTGATCTAAACAAGAAGGGGATTCCACCTTCAACATCCCACCAAGATTTAGTCTCGAATAGCAGACCATTTAACAATTGTTAGTCATTGAGTTAATTTAACGATATATCTAACATGTAACTTGCCTGTACTTTTAGTGAAGAGCTTCGCCTGGCCTCAAAATCGACTGCACTTCTTAACATTTGATACATGACAATTCCCTGGCCAGTTCGGCCGTCATAAGCAGCAAGGCTGGCACGATGGTGTCTGAACCGATAGTGGTCTGAACAGGCCT